GCGCAGCTATTGGCTTTTGTTTTTTTTTTTTTCTTTTTTTTTTTTTTTTTTGGAGCAGTTCTAATTTTCTGTGTGACTGCATCTGTGCACTGTAGCATTCAAATATTGCCCTGGTGTATAACACTCAGAGCTGAGCTTTGTATGAAAAGGGGAAAGGGAAAAGAGGCTGTGAAATTCCTCTTCGTCTTTAGTGTTATTGCTGTCTGGGATAGATTCAATTAGATTAGACAAGTAAAATTTCCTGATGTGACTCATCAGTGCTATTCACATGTGAGTGTGTGTCTGTATGTTCAGGCAGTCTGTCTCCTCTGAGGAGCACAGATACCTTGGGTAATAACCAGCTGCGTGTCAGTTAATGGGCAAGTAGGAGGCACAGCCCCTTTTCTCCAGGAGGGCAGAAATTGTAGCAGAATTGAAACAGAACCTGCTCTTTTTTTCAGAGCTGCCAGTAGAAATCTTTGCAAAATGAGAAGCTTTTCCATGGGTACAGCAAGCAGTTTTAGCCCTATAGTACGTGAAGGGTATACATCTTATTATGGGGTACAGTACTGCGTCAGGGCCTGCAGAGCTCAGTTCCATGCCTGTTTTCACCTCCAGAGGTGAAATACTTCATCTTCTAGTGCCTTGGCTCCCCCATCCCTTGTACAATAGCCATAATATCCTCCTTTATAAAAGGTTTTCTGTGACAAGTCTAAGATGAACCAAGTCTGCATCTTCAGGAATTAGCAAAATCAAAATGCGTTTTGGTCATGATAATGACTAAATGTAGCCTAAGAAGGAGCAGATTTGCTTCATAGGGAACCGTTGATACCCAGCATTAAATGAAATAAGTTGATACTGGAGTTAATTAAATGCAATTGATATTGCAAGTGGATGGTTGTGATTTTGGAGAAGTATTTTTGTCTCGTATTAACTTAAATGTAACAAAAGGACAAGGAAGGGAACTCTGATGTTGAAAAGGCTGTAGCAATGCTATTAGGATTGTTTATTTTCAAATCAGAAATCGAGAATGCAGAGCTATTTATTGCTTTAACTTCAGCAAAAGAAATAGTTACAGCAGGGACCTTGTTAAACTGGGACACATATTTCAGTGACTAGAAACCAATTGTAATCACAATTACAGAGATATAATCTTGGGCTTTAGTCCATATGTCTGTCTTAAAGAGAGCTATTAATGCCCTTGGTTTGTATCCAGCTTCCAGACAAAGATACTTAACTAAACATTTTCTTTTTGCTTCTGTCATTAGCTGGGGTGCACAGACAAAGTGGCTGGGACTATCTCATTCCTTAGTTCAATTAATAGGCCTCTACTGTTTCTTGAATATAAAAACCTGACAACACAGGATGAAAAATTATTCCAAAGCTGTCAGTGGGATGAACAAATGAAATCCATCATGAATTTAAATGGGGCCATGTATTATAACCTCCTGCCTTTCGTTGGACCATGGATCTTTTCCCTGTGTAATGTTTATATTTTTTGGAAATGCGATTACAAGGACAAATTCAAGGAGGTGCTGAATCCTCTGTCACGAGCTCCTGTTGCTGTTCATATACTTCTCCTCCATCATGTTGGGGAAGAGCTGGGTGAGGTCTCTATTGAGGAAACGTGTGCAGTGGAGGTGCAATTTATAACTCCTTGCACTTGACCAAGCAGAATCACGTGCCTGGGCAATGACTGAGGAAACTGAGCCCAGGTGTCACTGTGGTTATGCCCAGGAGTAACAGCAGCCGGTCTGCTTGTAGGAATTGTATGTTTGCTCCATTTCTGCCTGGGAGTTGCTTGTGAATTGCCTGATGGTTGCTATCACCAGGGTGCTTTGAGTCCCAGGGGTGAAGGTTTTTTTTTGGACTGTAGTCCAAAATATATGTAAATATATTTTGGTAAATATATGCTGGGTTTTTTTGGACTGTAGTTTCAATTGCCTGGGACCTGTGAGGGTAAATGCTGTTCTGTAACTGAAATATGTGGAAATAGAAGGAGACGTGCAGGAAATAATCCCAGCCGGCAGTGATGTATTTTACTCTCTGTAAATTGAGTTTTTCACAGGAGGATTGCTGTTAATGAAGACAGCCTTGCTTAATAATGTCTTTTCCCCGTCAAAGCAGTAACTGTTGTCAAAAGGGAGTGGGTGGTCGTGGCCCAGAAGCAGCTTGTTGGCCCACCAGATGGAGCTAAAGAAATCTGTCCAGGCTGGCTGGGTGCCTGTCCATGCTCCAGGACCTCCCGAGCTGGGGTCCTGCAGTGCAGTTACCACAGGAATTTATTGCCAGCAAAAAGGTACCTTTGAAACTACCTTTGAAAAGGTATTTTACAGACACCTTGCTCTCCCTTGTGGTGTGCTGTGTCTGAGGTGGCAGTGAACATCTTTGGGTGTCCTGTTGATGAGACACCATGGGAGCTAGAGGCCCCCCCTCCACCAAGACAAGCACCACCTTTTTCTTTTAAAATGAACCTGATACTAAGGCTTTATTTCCAAGGGTTTGTGACTGTGGGAGCCCTCATGGGCTCTTCTAGGTGAGTGTCCCAAAAGGCTGACACTAGGGTGTGAACACACCTAAGGAGGAGTTAATTTAAAATAAGATTAAATAAGTGTGGGAAAGGAGGGCAAAGGTAGTTACACCAAGCACCCAGGTATTTAACTTCTTTAGCTCTTTTTCCCTTTAAAAGTTAACAACTGTTTACAGAGATTGTCTCAAGAATATGACATTTTTTTTTTATCAGGGGTGTCATGGTTGTTGGCTACATCAGATGGAAGGACAACATGGAGGTTTTTAAAGCCTTTGCTTCTCACATTTATCAGGGTTAAAATGGGGTGGAGAGAAAGGTTTAATTGAAAAAAAACTTCTGTTATTCTAGTT